ATTTCACATGCATGTACTATAGATACTTCCATAGCTTCGTGATGACAATATAATTGAAATAAATTTTAAGTTTAAAAGTAAACGTTCTAAAGACATGTTTCTGCATGTTTCATGCCATCGTAAATTTAATGTGTTTAACAGTTAACTTTGTTTGTACACGTTACATGCAAATGCGTTAGAAGTTTGAATCAATTACAATAATTGAAATTAGTACCGTTGCAATAGTTAAAGTAAACACTTGTGTGCGAATATGACACTTGGAAAGTACCATGTTAAATAATAGACTAATGCAAGAGACAAAAAAAGCTTAACCATAAACAAAGATCACATACTATTCCTTAATGTCCTGCACGGTTTTACAACACTGTTGAAATCCTATTGGGGACTTTAAGTCTTTTACCTAATGGTGGCCCTATCGGATTATAACTGTATTCCTATTTGTTTATTTCAGGTTATCACTAAATTATCTTATTACTTCAACAGATCTTACCAACTTCTCCTGTGGTCCTGCGCCACACGTCTCGCCCTACGAGGATGTGAACCGAGGTAAACCTGAGCACGTTTCTGTATTTTTTCCTGGTAAATGTTTGTCACAACCACGACGAATTGCTGATCTATGTTGGATATTTTGGTTTGTTTCTTTAACGAGCAGACTCTTATACTTGATGTAAAAATAGTTAACAATTCACGGATAAAAGGGATTAGTTTTTGTGCAACTGCGTCGCACTCGATCCTTTCTGAAAAGGTTCAAACCTTTTGCGCCTTTTATTTCAGTTCTCATTTCAAATAAGGTAAGTGATGATATACAAGACCGCCGCCCAGATAGCCCGATGGATAGTGCGCTGGACTGTTGTGCGGGAGGTCGAGGGCCCGGAACAACACTCCAGGTCTTAAAACAATTGAGAAGAATTTGCTACCTTTTTATAACATCAAGAAATGGTTAGATATTCTAGTATTCTCGGATAGGGACAAATAAATGGAGGTCCCGTCTCCTGCATGGTTGGGGTAGGAGACGTTAATTTCCCACACACGAGATTACTGTGTGATGCATGTCCTCCCCTGGGGTGGGATGGGTGGGAAGGTGAGATCGAGGGACTGAAGCGGCTGTCAGAGGCGCCTGATATGCTGACGTCTTTTCTCAACATTAAACTGTACCCGTAATTCAGCCTCAGGCTGCAAGTGGCCAGAAATAAACTATTTTACTATATTACTATTACTTACATACATACATAGCTTTCTTTGTTAATGCAGGTTGGTAAATTTCCAGCCGGTGGCTGGTGTGGATCTGCCTATGTAATTACAATATTAAACATACTAAGTTATAAAACACATGTAAAGCTTGTCAATGAGTAATTACATAAAAGGCTACGTATGTTTATTACATATGGATATA